TCCAAGATTTCTATGACCTAGATAAGCCGTATGAGGAGATGTATGATCGCAATGTTGTACCCCGGATGCCGTGGCATGACATTTCTATGCATGTCGTGGGCCAGCCTGCTCGGGATCTTACTCGTCATTTCGTGCAACGCTGGAATTACATTCTTCGCCAGCGAAAGCCCACGCGGCCGACGCCCTTCCTCTTGCCGCCACCCGATTTCAACCCAGCAGATTTGGAAGCCTTGGGTCTTGATGGAACTTGCGAGGTACAAATTCTCCGTTCTAGCAGTATGTGGTCGACAGGAACTCCCGATGTCGTTGAGCACAGCATCATGAACGCCTATGTCAAGTTGATTGAAGAATCCGAGCATTTCGTCTACATCGAGAATCAGTTCTTCATCAGCACCTGCGAGATTGAGGGCCGAAAAATCGAGAACCTCATTGGAGATGCCCTAGTTGAGCGTATTGTCCGAGCTGCCAAAAATGAGGAAGCCTGGCGTGCCGTCATTGTCATCCCACTGATGCCAGGATTCCAGAACACCGTGGACAGTGAAGGTGGAACCAGTGTTCGCCTTATCATGCAGTGTCAATACCGCAGTATCTGCCGTGGAGAGACATCCATCTTCGGCCGTCTCCGTGCTCTTGGAATTGAGCCAGAGGACTATATCCAATTCTATAGTCTGCGAACTTGGGGCAAGATTGGACCGCAAAAAGCACTGGTGACCGAGCAACTCTATATTCACGCTAAATGCATGGTCGTTGACGACCGTGCTGCTATCATTGGATCGGCAAACATCAACGAACGATCCATGTTAGGTTCGCGTGATTCAGAGGTTGCCTCTGTAGTGCGAGACACCGATATGATGATGTCGAGCATGAATGGCAAGCCATACCTTGTTGGCCGATTCCCACATACTTTGCGTATGCGTCTGATGAGAGAACATCTCGGAATTGACGTCGACGAACTCATGGAACATGACTTTGCTACTGAAGAAGAACTACGGAAGATCCAGGTCGCCGAGGGGAGTGAGCACCCAGTTGACAACCAAGAACGAAGAAATTCGGCGTCCTCGGCCGTCGAACGACAAGATGAGAGGGATATGGTCGAACGTCGGCATCGTGTCCAGGATGAGTTTCTTTCTCGCTCCGAGGAAATGTATAGCTTCAACCACGATGTGGATTGGGAGCAGGGTTGTAACCCTAACCTCAAATCGAACCGCAAGCTCACTGCCGACCCTCGCGTCACTGAAAATCCTGATCACAGGAAAGACGTGGAAGGGGATGGCGCCGATCATCTGACAGCTGCTGCTCAGGCTGGATTATCAGTCGGTCGTGATTCGGAGATGGAGGCCAATGGAAGAGAAGCCCTGCTTTCAGCCATCGCTCCTGAGGGGAAGGGTACTGTTGAGCGACCGAGATCATCGCAGCAAAAGCCACCTTCAACACCCTCCACCCCGAAGGACCGCAGACCTGGGTCATCGAGTGAGACCAATCCAATCCCCGAGATCAATGCGACTACACCGTCACAAGGCCATGGACTTAATGGATCGTCGAGCCTCGAGTCCGAGACTAGCGGTACCGGTTCGAACACGGCTAAAGAAGAAAATGAACACTCCAAGCACCACCATCCGTCTGTTCCGGATCCCAAGCGTATCTTCATCGACAACGACTGCATGAGGGACCCGATCATCGATGGCTTCTACCTGGACACATGGCAAGCTGTGGCCGAGAAGAACACTAAAATTTACCGATCTGTTTTCCGCTGCATGCCCGATAGCGAGGTGAAGAACTGGAAGGAATACAAGGAGTATGCCACCTATGGCGAGCGCTTTGCAGAGATGCAGAGCCAACAGGGCAACAAGCCAGCCCAACCTCAACAACCTCAACAAAAACAAAATGGCTCTTCTCCAGCCGGTCCTACGGTTAGCTCTCCGATGTCGATCGCTTCTCAGATGTCTTTCATCACTCCAAAGGCCGAAGGATCGCAGGCAGACCCGAAGAGCCCCCAGACAATTAACGAGAAGGTCGTAACTGGGAATGACGCTGGTCGTCCACAGTCTGAGCAGCTAGCGAAGCAGGAGACGTTATCATCTATCGATGAGAAGGCCGCACTCAAGACAGTTTCGGATCCGAACCTGTTGGCCAGTGTTCCGAACGGGAACGGGACCAGCGACGACAATAGTTTCGTCGTCGGTGATGATATCGAGAAGGCACGAACAACCTCGCCTCATGTCGATTACTCTGAAGCCGTGAACCTGAATCTGAACTCGAGCCATTCTCGGAGACGTAGACGCAGAGCTACAACGATTGGCTCAAAGCGTGACCCCCATGGCACAGATGAGTATTTGGACAAGGGCCGTGCAGAGGACCTCCTTAACCATACTCAAGGCCATCTCATCATGTGGCCTTATGACTGGTATGTCTCAACAACGCTTCCATTGGATCTCAGGATATCCACTGACCAGTTCTATTACAGGCTCGAGAAAGAGGAGCAAGGTGGAAACTGGCTCTATGCTTTGGATCAGATTTCTCCTCTGGAGATCTAGTAAGTTGTCTCTCCTTGTTGCTTTCTGAACAGAATATTAACGGATATATAGCAACTAATCTCTAATTGCACTTGACGGCGTCTTGCTCGTGCTTGTCTACTTGGTGTCTGTGTTGGAATTCGCGAGCGCCGCTATAGCGATTGATGCATTTTCATCTTCTTAGACCTTCTTGGGTCTTTGCCTAGTCATCCTTCGGAGTTTTCATGCATCACGGTGTTCTCTATGTTACCCCTACCTAGGTAGCGCAATAAGTAATCATCTTTCGAATACGGGGATAGTATATTCTCCCTCCAAGGTCCTGTGTGGTGTGTAATAGATGTACTATTTCAACGGTGATTGATGAAACGGCTTGTACTTTAGTAGAATAATGCTAAACAGCAGAAGAAAATTGAATTCATGATTATATATCTATGAAGAAGTAGGCTCTTCCGCAACGTAGTGCAGGTAAGCTCCCAGCAGCTTGGTTCCCTCAATGTAGTTTCTCTTGTCAAGCTTCTCGTTGACAGAGTGGGCAGCATCGGTCGAGCTTCCCATGGGGAGAAGCAAAACGTTCTTGCCGGTGGCTTGCTCGAAGGTCAATGTGACAGGGATGCTATCAATGGTTAGCTGCGGGACTATTTCATTTATGGGAAAAGAAGAATCTCACCTTCCACCCTCGCGAGTCATATCAGGCTCGACTCCGAAGACCTGCTGAACAGCCTTGCTGGCAGCCGAGAAGTTCCAGTGCTTGGGGCTGGCGACCCACCACTTGCCGTCGTGCTGCAGCCAAACATCCAAAGTGTTCTTGGTGTTCAGCTTGGCGAACTCGGCCTTCACATAGTCGATGACCAGCTTGGTCACATCTTCGCTCTCCATATTGGGCACGGTACGGATAGAGAATTTACCAATAACCTTGGCAGGAATGACGGTCTTAGCACCGGGGGCCGAGTAAGCACCCTCGATACCGTGGATGGACAGAGAGGGATAACGCCATCTGGCCATCAGGGTACGCTCCTTGGTGGGGTGGATACCTGTCTCAGCACCCAACGACTCGTGGAGGTTGTCCATAGTGTAGCTGATCTTTCCATAGAGAGTCTTCTCCTCCTCAGTCAAGGGAGCCACCAGATCCATGATACCCGGAATCAAGATGTTACCCTGGGCATCAACCAGCTTGGATAGAACGTTGACCAGATCAGTCATGGGCTCGTGGGCAGAACCGCCAAAGACACCGCTGTGCAGATCTTGAGCGGGGCCCGAAATGCTGATGGAGTAGTAGTTGCAGCCACGCAGACCATAGGTGAGACAGGGCTTCTCGGTGCCGAGCCAGTAGTTGTCAGAGATACAAACGGCATCCGTGTCCTTGAAGTACTTCTTACTCTCGTCCTTGATGAAGTCATCCAGGCCCTCGGATCCATACTCCTCCATTCCCTCGAAGCAGCACAGCAAGTTGACGGGGAATTCGATGCCAGCCTTGCGGTGGGCATCGATGACGTTAAGCCAACCCAAAACAGGACCCTTGTCATCGGTAGAGCCACGGCCGTACATCCGATCCTTCTCGTCAATAGTCAACTCAAAGGGCTCGGTAGCCCAGCCGTCTTCCTTCAGAGCCGGTTGCACATCGTAGTGTCCGTAGACCAGAATAGTGCGCTTGTTCTTATCGTTACCGTATCTCGCAACCACCACGGGTGGCAGCTCGAGGTGCTCTTTGCCAGGCTGCTTGCCCAATGGTCGTTGCTCGACCTCGGCTCCAAGAGCTGTGAGCTCATCGGCAAGGAATTGACCCATCTAGAAAAGATTAGACCCTGGATTTGGATGTCTGCTGGGAAACTCACGCGGAACACATCCGGTCGGTTCTCATCTTGCGCCGAGATCGATGGGATCGCAACCGCCTTCCGTAGACCTTGACCAAAAATCAGCGAGGACCTTGCGAGGAACCAGTATTACCTACGATCGATGAAATCGTTGGACGAGGCGTCGACCCTTGTGACTGTTAGTTGACATCTCTCTTCAGAGATTAGCATACTTACTGCTTGAAAAAGGGCTCTAGCTGGGGAGCCATTTTGGAATCACTGATATAGCCGTAGAAGAAGCGGCGAGAGGAGAGAGGCGAACGAACAGCTGGAGAAAATCGAGAAGAAAAAGGAGCGAGTTTGAATGAAACGCGACGGAGGGGAAAGAGGGGCATTGCCGTCTTTGCCCTTTGGTAACCGGAGAGAGTCTAGAGGTGACTTCTTATCACGTAATTTTCTATTGGCCCTATCACAGCGATGTGGTCAGCGGACAAGTTTTAGGCGACTGAGACATGGACTTTGGCATATTTTAGGCAAAAGATACAGTCGAGACATTAGAATTCCCCCATTGATCCTTATTTCTATATAGCTCTTGATAAAGTAGAAGATTTGGTATGGAATACATAAACAATGCTACAAATAAGCTAGAATACATGGATTTTTCTTTACAAAGCACCCCCCGAGTATCATGCTGCCACTATGCATCTCGTCCCCAGGCCTCGCGCCGCAGTTGACGGTCCTCTCTGGCCATGCGGCGCTTGGGTCCCCATCGCGATTGCACGGCCTCCAAGATCCGGGCCTGGATCTCTCTCTTCTCTGGGCTTGCCTGGCAAACCATGGCAATAAAAACGGGCGAGCATTCAAACCGTTTGGCGAGCTTGTTTCGGCTCCAGGTCATGGGATCGTTCATGCGGAGTTTGCGGATTTCTTCAATATCCGAAGGGGAGAGGTGGTATTTCCTTTCGGGCACGGACTTGTAGACACCGGGAAGATCGTCGGCATTGGGGGTCGCAGTGGAAGAGAGGATTGATGCTTTCCGAACATCATCGGCTGGCAGGAATTTGGATGGGGTGTGGTAGGCATTTGGAGCACTCGATGGCGGGTTGTGGATAATGTGATCGTGACCCAGGTTAGACGGGTCAAATGAGGAGTCTGGCTTCACACGTAGTCGCTGCTTGGTTCGTCGGTATGAAGATTGGTTTCGTCGGAAGCCTAAAGCCAGCGAATCCGACAAGGAGGGAATAAGGAATGGCAATGTGAGAAATGGCCGCTTCGTCGCGGCAATGAAGGTCGCCATTGCCTCTGGTCAATGGGGGGAATTGATCAGAAACTAGAATGATGGAAGAGAAGGGGTTAGTAAGTCTGCATGGATAGTGGTTGCAGTGATTCAACCAACCTAAAGGGAAGAGTGAATTTGGGGGTTGAAGGACTGGACGTGTTGGCGTCTCTTGCGCTCGAACCCGAACTTTTCCCCTGGTCTCGTGACCCTGGTCTGGGTGTATTTGCAATACCGTATTGAAATATACGTATGTATCCGGTACCTGATAAGCCTTTGTTGTGAGTGCCTTTGCAAAGTACCGAATACAACTTATCTCCGTCCTTACGTACTGCCCCAAGTAGGTAATAATCCTCCCCGTTTGGGCCCGTTGGGGCTTGTCACCTGGTCTACTCCAGTTACGATGTCTCACAGATGTCATCAAGACTTTTGCTAACTCCCATATACCCATATACTCTACTTTATTGATTATGTCCAGATTTTGTTAGTTCATCTTATCGAAATGTCGGATATCGAAATGTCGAGATCTGCAGCCCAGACAGAGAAGCCAAACGAGGCTGAAGCGAGTACACGAGCGAAGCCCACTGCTCTCACATGGGACAATCAAAGCGACAAAGGTTGCATATCGCCTGTGAGGTCATTCGAAGGCCTGCGAACACCAAATCATGATTCGCCCAAGTACATGCGACACCCCTCGTCGCCTGAAAGCTCATCCTATCTGCCGTCTCGTATACATTCCCCCGCCTCTCAGATATTCGAACGAGACGTGGAAGATATAGTGCCAGCGCAGGCGTCGCCTTCGATCCCTACGCATATTCGCACAGATAACTATATTCCACCGGTCCTAGAAGCATCCTCGGCCGCGATCACAGATGACCACCTCGATCCAGATTCGGTCGAGATTGTCACACATAGCCTACACCAGTCAGCAGGTGGTCCATCGGGAGAGCAGTCAATGTCGTCCTCCAGCATTGACCATCTCTTGGGCCAGCTCGATGGAGATGAACTCGCGTCCAGTTATGGCGCATTGGACACGGCAGACGTACGTCGGCTGAGCTTTATTTCCTTTGCCGACGTTGTCAACGCCGAGCATGCAGAAACAAATGAAGCTCATGCTGGTTTAATATCTCGGGGGCGCCTAGCAGGTTTCAATCAATCTCCGTCTCCATTGCGCTCTCCATCTTCTTCGCGTGGACTCGGCACTTCGCCGCCAACAAGCCGTGCGACTTCCTTCAGAGGGCTCGATATGTCTCCTACTCGGTTCCCTACTTCTAGTGTTGCCCAAAGCCCAATCTCGTCCAATTTTGGGGGCGACCTCAATATAGAGACCATGCGACAGGCTTTGAGAAAAACCGCTAGTGGAGACCTGGGCGTCACAAGCCGGGCCGTGAGTACCATAGGGGATGACCTGCTGGATCGTACCATTTAGCAGATCCAAGTGCTTTTGTTTGGCGTTTGGATAGTGAAAGGCTCGGAGCAAGATCTCGTTTTCTTCATGGTACAGTGTGATAATCTAGGGTCTGCTTTATATGATATATACCGCAATCTACGGATCTGGATATTCCAGAACCTGAAAAGTCCAAGTTCTTGTGTAATGCACAGGCCAACTTTGATTGAATTGGGGTAGACTATGCACTTGCCTGCCCAACTTTTTGCACTGCGTCCAAGGCCAGTTGTACCCGGGCGCGCAGGTCGGCTGCATCTTCTAATCCAACACTGATTCTCACTAGATCCGGATCGACATCGAAGGTTCTCGCCTGATGCATGTTAGTTATGGCCTGGTCAACATGCTCGTGGTGTACATACCCAATCTAATTCGCCGTAATGGGCTAGGAGGACGTATGGAGAGCTGAAAAGTTAGCAAAACCCAAGACAGATGGCCTGCGTACTCACCTCAATGTAAAATTGGTCCCAAGGCTGGGTCCCTTGAAAACCTCGATGGTGTCAAAAAAGGCAATCGCCTCGGCTGTGGTGTGGAATGTCACAGAGAAGAGACCACCATAACCACCATTGGCATTGCGGAGACTATCATATAGTGGTTTCGAGGGGCTGTATTTCGGGTAGTAAACGTCTTTCACTGTGAAATTGTCAGTATAGCTCTCACTCCAGGTAAATGCATGCTTACCTAGGGGGGACTCCTTCAGCATCGCTGTAATGTCCTCAGTGGTAGCATTGATCTGTTCAATGCGAGCAATAAAATCACGGCTGTTTCTCTCCAGGAACACGACATCCTCAGCCCAGTAGATATCTTCGTAGTCCTGGTTATATGTTTCCTTGATGGCCGCATAATACGGCGCTTGAGGGTTGAGCACAGCACTTCCTCCCATGACGTTGCTATCTCCGCTGAAAATCTTGGTCAAGCTGCTGACAACGATGTCGGCCAAGTGCAAAACGTTGATGTTTATAAAGTTGCTGATAGTTTCGTCGACCACCACCGCAAAGCCATACTGGTCTGCCAAAGCGCGAATCCGTTTGAGGTCCGGTGTTTTGAGAAGAGGGTTACCTGGTACTTCGGTGAAAAGCCCAAGGAAACGCTCACCAGCCTTCAGTCGAGATTCCAGATCATCCAGATCTTCCGACGAGCCGTGACCATAGAAGACGCAGCCTGGTCCCCACTTTTGGAGAATCTTCAATGTATCCGTGTAAGGGAACCCGAAACAAATTGACGGCAAATCGCCTCTAGTAGCCAGTAAGGTCTGATGAGCGTTGAAGATAGCGCTCATACCCGCAGGATAAAGATAGACATCCTCCTCGGATATACCGGCGACTCGGCCTTCTGATGAAGCTGTCTTTAAGGCTTCTGGCAGTTCAGCATTGGCAGTCAAGACACCCGCAATACGTTTGCGAACAGCCAGCTTGGCCTGGTTGGCGAGAGAAGTGCTCAGATTTCGGCCAAACCGCTCCTCAATAAACTGACCATAGTCTCGGCCGCCGTCTTCGGTGTTTAATTTGGGAGGAGATTCCCCAACAGAGCCCTTTCTCCCTTTACTGATACCTTGGTATCTGCGGGGTCCCTTACAAGGACGCTGGGAGATTGACTCCGCAGTCGCAAGGCCCTTGTCTTCCACCAAGAACCCGTCCTCCAATGCTCCAAGGCAGAACTCACCTCGTCGACTGGAGATTCCATTGCCCGAGTGTTGCCATACCTGCTTGGTAATGGAGGCGTATTCTTTTGGGTAAATGACACACGACAAGGAAGATGTCACTGTCGATCCGGATTCGGTATGCGGGGATGGGACGAAGTTGACAATCCGTACTTTGTATGCCTGATCTGCAGGAATTTTGCTAAGCAAAAAAGAGTGACAGATGCGCGCTGATTTGACTGAGGCGAATAGGGTTGCAGACTCGAGGTTGGGGTCACCGACTCGGCGAACAATCTCCTGCGCGAGCTTTTGAATAATAGGATGGACGAAGAATCGAGGATAACCGCATTGCATCTTGTCTATCACCCAAGCTTCTCCTTCTTCGTAGCCGATGCTTTCCCTCCATGATGGAAGCGATACACTGACGGCCTTGTAAATGTTAGAAGAGTCATGGAGGGGTTGCGGGGAGTTAGCCATACATGGTCAGTGTTTGGAGGCACAGGTCCTCCCAAAGCCTGCAACATTTTCAACTGAAAATAGAAACCAGGTAGAATTTATGCTCTATTGCAGATAATTGCTCTAGAATAATAGAGAGAGGGAAAAAAAAGACTGTAAGGTAAATGATGCAATTCCTCCACTCAGCGACTTCGGCGATGCTCCGGTACCTGATAAATTACGAATGAGTCAGCCGTACGTTAACTATTTACCAGATACAATACCGTTATCGCCAAAAAAAAAAATCTCGAGGGCCTCACTGCTAACAACTGCTACGCTCACGAAATGTCGGACCACACATCCAAGCGCAGAAAGCTCAGTCCTTCCCCGGAGAATGCTGTTACTAGCGCTTCAACGAAACAGACATCGAAAGTGACCGAGAAGCGAAACCCGGCTCGAGGCAAAGATGAGCGCTCCGCAGAGCTTGCAATGGCCAGCGGCTTTTACAAGTCCAGTTTCTTCAAGCTGCAAATGGACGATCTGCTGGCGGGATTGAGACCTAACTACAGCAAGCAAGTCTCAAAGGTTCAGGATACACTGCAGCAGATCAAAACCGCCATTGAAGGCCTGCCCGAAAAGTCTCCACAATCTGTCCCCGATGCCGAGAAGGAGCTACGTGCTTCTGGTCTGGTGGTCCCATGGCCTGAGCCTCGGCCGAGCAAGGATGTCAAGTACAGTATGGCATACGCAAAGCCAGCGAACATCAACGTGGTAGGTAGCTTTGCGCTGAAAACAGGCGCTCGCAATTTGGCGTCGCGCCCAATTGACCTGGCAATCACTATGCCAAGTTCGCTCTTCCAGGAGAAGGACTATGTCAACTTCAGATACTTCCACAAGCGGGCCTACTATATCGCGTGTGTGGCCGCTGGGGTTCAAGAAACCGCGAACACCCTCGGGTTTGATATCAAATTTGGTCCTCAGGATGGAGACAGTGTCCGACCTATTATCTTGTTGGAACCACGTCAAGCCGAATCTTCCAGGCCTACAATCCGGATTCTGACCGCAATCGATCCTACGTTGTTCCCAGTCACAAGGACGCTTCCACTCAAGAGCAATATCCGACAGGCCTCCAATAACTCGGAGATCGGCGAACCGACCTCGTATTACAATGCCAGCCTCCGGTCCGATGCCACAGTCTCTCTCTATCACAAGTCTATTTACTCGGCCTCCAAGAAGTGCGATTCTTTCAGCGACGCATGCATTCTTGGCCGTACTTGGCTGCAACAAAGAGGCTTCCATACCCCTTTCCAGAATGGAGGCTTTGGCGGTTTCGAATGGACTGTACTCCTATCTTTGCTGTTTGAGGGCGGTGGTCCAACTGGACAACCGGTCCTGCTACCGTCATACAGCTGCTATCAGATTTTCAAGGCCACTATTCAGTTTTTGGCCGGCAGGGATTTAACCACTCCTCTATTCTTTGGCCATGAGGTCCCAGTTCCTTCC